CGGCTGGGGCTAGACTGAGAAGGGCAGAGCAGCTGTAGCCTGTGCAGGTGACTTATTTTGTAGCCACGGGGCACCCAGGATTTAGTGCACAGAGCCCAGACGTGCCGGGGCTGCAGGCAGCATGGGGACCTCCCTCCCTCACCTGCACCCAGGGAAGGATTTGAATACTCCGCAGGGAGGGGCCCTGTGAGAACCCAGGAACTGAAACAGGAGGGGTTGCAGGTGGAGACACTAATGTTTTTCTAAGTCAGGAGTTGGAAACACCTTAACTTGGGGTCTGTGAGTGGGCCTGGGGAGTGCGGGAACCAGCTCCTCCCCTGACAAGATCTGTCCAAAGTCATGTCGACACGTGTTTCTTGGGAAGAGGGCCAAGGCTTTCCTCAGTGGATCAAGGGGATCTGTGAAACCTCCATTTAAGAACTAATGGGGTGCCCTGGTTGGGTATGTCAGTGGGTTAGAGCATCATCCCAATATGCCAAGATTGCAGGTTCGATCCCTGGTCAGGGTACATACAAGGAGCAACCGATAAATGTAGAAATCAGTGGAACAACAAATCAGTGTTTCTCTGCTCTCTCTCTAAATCAATTAAACAAAACCCTAATGGGGTAGAAAAGAGCAGATGGCCAACAACAGAAGCTGGGAACCAGCACTACCCCCCCTCCCCCTGCCCCAGGGCAGGGCCTGACTGGGTGCCAGGGCGCTGGGGGTGGCCCTTTGGAAGCTGGGCCATCAGCTCCAGTCCTCCAGCCCAGCCCTCTCCCCCCTGCACGGAGCCTTTGGCTCTTGAAGGCCACACAACTGCAGAATGGTTCTGGAGAAGGTGGAGGTCCGGGGCCTGACTGGCAGCTGAAGCTCTGGCAGGTCTGTTGTTTTTGCCTGTACCCTGGGCACTGGGGTTGTTTTTGGCAACACAAAAATGATGGAGAAATTTGGTGAGAAGGGAACGTTTGCAAAACATCGTTACTGAAATCCGTGCTTTCCTTAAAAAAAAAAAAAAAAAGGAAATTCAAATGTAATTGAATTCTTGGGTAGCCAAATGGGGTAACAGCTGTTTGGGGGCAGTGCTGAGCCCAGGGGCACAAGTTCATGGGGAAGGCTCGGCCTCCTCCTGCCTTTAGCTGTCTCTCCGCCCCCTGCCCCCTGCCGCCAGCAGAGAGCCTGGTTTGGGAACCGTCTCTGTTCTAGAGCATGGGCTTAACCGGGATGGTCTGAGTGAAGCCAAATCTCAGGGGAATCTGCTGCCAGAAAGTAGGGTCTACTGCTGCCCCCTCACTCTGGCATCTGAGCAAGTCCTGAGCTTTTGAGGGCCCCACGTGCCTGGGCAGATGGATTCTTTCAGCACCCAAGGGCATGGAGCTGGTGTCTGCCCCTGGGTGGGGTCCACAGTGAGTTGAGGCCTCTTTGCAGGCCCCATAGATCTGCCATCATGAATTGGTAGCAGTGTCTTGCTGGTCCCTTGTTCCCAGACTTCGCCCTGTAAGCCTGTCCTTGGGGCTCCCCTCCTGCTGGGAGGCCCTGGCCAGACTAGCTCTGAAAGTCCAGGGGCACTGGGGTCTCGCCTAGCCTGTTGTCCATGTGCAAGTGGCTAACGTGTACTTGGGCCATTTTAGAGCCAGGTATTACTTAGCCCGCTGATGTCGGTGAGAACATACTACCCACTGTTCTTTGCTGCAGCCGGAACTGAGCACGGAGCCCAGGGAGCGGAAGGGGGGGTGCGGCCCAGGGAGCGCGGGGCCCAGGGAGCGCGGGGGGCCCAGGGAGCACGGGGCCCAGGGAGCGCGGGGCCCAGGGAGCGTGGGGGGCCCAGGGAGCGCGGGGGGCCCAGGGAGCATGGGGCCCAGGGAGCGCGGGGCCCAGGGAGCGAGGGGGGCCCAGGGAGCACGGGGCCCAGGGAGCGCGGGGGGCCCAGGGAGCGCGGGGCCCAGGGAGCGCGGGGGCCCAGGGAGCACGGGGCCCAGGGAGCGCGGGGGGCCCAGGGAGCACGGGGCCCAGGGAGCGCGGGGGGCCCAGGGAGCACGGAGCCCAGGGAGCGCGGGGCCCAGGGAGCACGGGGCCCAGGGAGCGCGGGGGGCCCAGGGAGCGCGGGGCCCAGGGAGCGCGGGGGGCCCAGGGAGCGCGGGGCCCAGGGAGCGCGGGGGGCCCAGGGAGCACGGGGCCCAGGGAGCGCGGGGGGCCCAGGGAGCACAGAGCCCAGGGAGCGCGGGGCCCAGGGAGCACGGGGCCCAGGGAGCGCGGGGGGCCCAGGGAGCGCGGGGGGCCCAGGGAGCACGGGGCCCAGGGAGCGCGGGGGGCCCAGGGAGCGCGGGGGGCCCAGGGAGCACGGGCCCAGGGAGCGGGGCCCAGGGAGCGGGGCCCAGGGAGCGCAGCCACCTTCCACACTTACAAACCCCACCAAGGCCCGGCGAGGACAAGGCCTTATCTCATTCGCCTGCCACTCAGATCACCCAGGTTCTTAGAAAATAAGTTGTTTTTATTTTCATTCAAGAGTGTTGGAAATGTAAAAACAGTATCTTTTCCTTGCAGAAAATTACCCCATTTAAATTAATGTTTGATACAAAGATCATTTATTAAACTGCATTTTAGTCTATTTTCTAACATTGAGTGACAGGTTACATATTTTTATTTTCTCACACTGAAGTTATTATGATTTGTACTTAAAATACCAAAGCTATTGAACTCACCATTTATTCCTTAGTCATTAAAAAAAAGCACACAGAAAAAATAAGTACAATTAGATGAACTTTATCAAAAGTAACTTTCACAGACCAAAACTCCAGCAGAGACCACCCTTCTTTCAGAAATGAGCAAACTGTCTTACTCTTTCTAAAAAGTGCAAATATCTCTGTATCACTTTTATTTCTTAAATTGTAGCCCCAAAGGGACAAACCTTTTCTGTCTGCTCCTTTTCCCTTCAGAGATTTTGGTGGAGGTGATTGCTGTTACCATCAGTAGCGGGAAGGTGATCACCCTTGCACTTCCCTCACTGACCAATGTGGACAGACAGGCGGCACGGCCAGGGCCCAGCACCTGCGTTTGCTGACGTGCGGGCCCAGCCTGGGCCCTGCTTCCCGGCACACCGTGCCTCTCCCTTTAAAGCTCCCCTACCTGCCCACTGTGCCTCTGAAACGACAAAGTATCCATCAAAGTATGTTATTTTTTTAACCATGTAAGTGTCTAGTCAGCACTTTTACTTGATGGGCCTTGATGGAAAATAGCACACCCCTCCTGAGGACCCCAGAGTGGCCCCTTTCTCGGCCTGCAGCTGTGCCGTCTGGCCCGTTGGCACACTCCGGTGGGAAATGACTCTTGTATGACGTCTCTAATGTGAACCTCAACTTCTACAGCTGAACGGGCGCGGGGAGGAGAGCCATCGATCGGTGGGGCTGCATCTCCCTCAGCCTTGCTCAGGCGCCGCGAGAACAAGGCTGAGGGACAGGCACGCCCAGCGCTTCACCAAGAGGGGGCTTTGCACACACAGCTGTCTGCTCATGGAGAGTCCACTGCTCCTGATGATGGAAGAATGTGGGGGCAGGAGCCAGACCCCAAGAGCTGGTCCTGGCCCCTCCCGTGACGGCTCCAGGTCCTCAGACAAACAGGCTCCGAGAGCTGTGGTTTCCTCAGTTGTGACGGTGGGGCCGGCACCTGCCCAGGGCACTTCGGAGAACTGTGCCCATTAGAGTGACCGAGGGCTGGGTACCTCCGTGTGCGGACCAGTGCCCGCCTGCCCGCCAGGAGGGCCGAGCACTGGGCAGGGAGCACAGCACTCCACTGGCCAGGTCCGCCTGTTTCTCAATCCGTGTGACCGTCTGTGCCAGCGCTGCCCACTATGCTGAAATCTGCCCACATGCCATGTGGACATAAGATGATGGTGCAACTAGGGTGTCTGGAGATCTGGAATCCACCAGGCAACCTTAGTGGGGGAAGTGATGGGACAGCGCGCAACGGGCACTGCGGGGCCAGGGGGGCCCCTACTGCCCTGCTCTTGTCCCCTGTACGCCACTCTGGAGATAAGCTCTGTAAAAACTTCCAGAAGCAACAGATCAAACGTCCCTGTCTACCGTGGCTCCACCTTACTACCTGTTCCCAGTTTTCACCTTCGATGTCCAGGCAGGCAGAGACCGAGCAGCGCGGGGGCTCCCGAGGAGGCAGTACGGGTGGCCCAGCTTAGGAGACAAGAGGGAGCCAGGTCAGCCCACGGGTTCGGCAACCTCTCCTTGGGACCCGTGTCATCAAAGGACACGGTGCACTTACTGTCTCTGAAGGAGGAGGGTGTGAAGTTATCTGGAATGTGAATTTCCTTTAAAACAACAGGGAACTGAAGTGTAACTGTTGATACAGGTTTTTAAATGTAATCTGGAGCTGAGAGTTCTGACCCCAACTCAGACCCCCGTATCTAAGGACCTGGGCTTGACCGGGGACAGGAGGGCCCGCAAAGGAAGCCTCTGGCGCCCGCGCGTCTCAGCTGCCTGCGCTAATCAGAGGCTGCTCTAGAGGGGACACCCGGACCCCTGAGCAACCAGAATCGGAAGCTGCTGCTTCTCCCCTCTTCACTTTCTGGTTGGCCGTCCAGTCCTCTGGCCGAGAACACAGCCTTCTTCCCAACTGCGGCGACCGGCAGAGTCCTCTGCTCTGAGCCCCTCGGTGTGGGGCAGAGCAGGAGGCCAGGTGGGCGACACCCTCCTGCAGGGGCCTAGGCCGCTGCAGGGCCACATCCCACAGGGGTCCTCCCACCCCAAGGGCAAGGGTCCTCATGACTCTGGGGCCTCTGAGGTTAAGGGGTGACTTCAGTCCCAGGCCCCTGCCAGTCCCAACTCAGGACCCAGCTACACACTGAGCGCTCTCCTGGAAGGAGGGTTCTGTTCAAATCCGAGTCCTTTAGTCCTATGGTCCTCCTCTGTGGGCCCCAGATGCTTCTCACGTGGCGATATTTTAGGGGACCCTCCTGTCCCTGCTCTGTCCCTGGGCAGCAGAAGGCCGCGCAGGCCTGAGGGCGGGCGGGCGGGCCACCCAGCCTGTGCTAACGACTCCGTTTGCCTTCCAGAGCCCAGCACGGCAGCTGCACACTAGGGACACTCTCGTCCAACTGGAAACTGCAGACATAGTGCATTTTTCCCGAAGTAGAGACTAACATCCTGGATTAAAAAAGGACATAAAACAAAAAATAAAGTACCACACATATTGCACTTTTTGCCAAATGAAATGTTTCCCTCGTGCGCACCTGGCCAGTCTCTGGAGGAGCCTGGCTGCACGCGGCCAGCGGACGCGGCATGCAGTAGTGTACACGCTGACGCGGAGCGGCCTCGTGGCGGCCTGGGTAAGCCTCTCCGGGTCGTAGTGTTTGCGAGGGCACTGCGGCAGCTCACGGGGCACTGAGGGCACGGAGCAGGGGACGGCCAGGCAGGGTCAGGGACACCCGACTGGCCACAGAACCCGTCTCCTCTCACCAGCCCCCTTTCTGTAAATATAGATCCTCTTGGAATTTACTGGTTTCTGCTGGAGACACAGGAGAAAAGCAAACAGGAGCTGCCACAGGCCCAGAAGCCCAGCATCGGGGGGCAGCGTCCGGCTCTGCCCCGGGAACAGCGCTGCTGCTCCTCTGTCCCCAGCGGACTGGCTGCCACGGGTGCCCGAGGCCTGTCTCTGGGTCCTTGAGCTTCCAGCAGCTCTGCGCTGCCCCGTCCCTGATCACCGTGCCCAGCTCCTGGCTTCCTGGGCTGTGGGGCTCCCGGCCTTGGGGGTGTCTCTGCCCATCTGTAACTGCCATTCCTGTGACTGCAACGAGCAGCCCCCATTTTCAATGTGGAAGAACTTAAATTTCATAAATGTTACAGCACTTCGGTAGTATATTTTGGGGAAACACCCTTCAGTTTAAATAAATCAAGCCCTATTGTATAACTGACATATTTTGCAGACTTAAAACAGGTTAGAGATCTTAACGGAAGGATCTCTTAAATGAAAGGATATCGATGTCACGAAACCATCAACCTGAAGCACGGGGAGGGAAACAGTCCACAGAAGGAACATATTCACCCTTGCTGGAGTTTCACCAGTGTTCCTCACAGAAACGACCGCCCCCCACAGCAGCCTTCCTCCCGACACCCCGAGTCCCACCCGCTCGGTGCCCGGTGCCCGTGTAGTGTCCTGGCCCCCACGGAGCCAGGAACAAGGGATGCTCAAGTTACTAGCGGTGGGGGCTGGGCTGGCAGAACAGACCTTGGTCTTCCAGGCTCCCCTCACTGGCGGGGCGCTCACCACAGGGGAAAGGCAACGTGTGGGCGTCCCCGAGGGGGCAGCAGCGCCCGGCCTGAGCGGCTCACACGCTGAGAGGACAGCCATTCCGCAGGACAGTCCCTGACGGTGCTGACTGACACGTGGGTGTTCCTGTCCAGATGACAGGCGACTGTTACTTCTCGGTGTCCAGTTAGCTGGTGCAGCATCTGTCTTTTTCTTACTTTGATGAATGAATTGTAAAGGTTTAAGTTTTACTAGTGATACAGTGAGTCTGGCAGACGCTTTGCTTACATGGTTGACACCTGGTTGTGGATATTGCTGTAATACTCAAACATTTCATTACAAAGTCAAAACTTCAAGGAAATGAAGAATGTGATTCCCACACGGTGGAAAACAGACTCCGAAGGGACTTTGGATTTAGCACTGACGTACATGGAAACTGTTGGTTCCACAGAAAAGAAAGAATTAAAGCATGACCTGGGGAAAAGGCACAGCACTACCACTTCACACGGGAGAGAAAAGTTCATCTTCCTTGTTCTCAGAATCTCTAAGCCCTATACGAACCTGTCCGAACACAAAGCTCAGTTAACGACCAGCAACACAGAGCGTGAAGTCACAGTCAGTGCACTTGAAGAGACACTAGGTCCTCTACAGCCCGGCTGCGGAGCCTCCCGGCTGGGCGGGGCCGTCTCCACTCTGCGGGTCTCCTGTCAGTTCCACTCAGAGTCTGTGGCCCAGGGCACCTTCTGGAGGTGTGCTTCCTGCCCCAGGCGGAGAGGCCCAGGCGGGGACCCCTGCTGGTGTGCCAGGCCCCAGAGCAGCTTAGAACTAACTGCTCGGAAGACGAAGCTCAGCTTCTCCTCGTGCCCTGTGCATCCAATCTCCTTCCGTACTTGCCTCTAGCAGTACGTTGTTCCTCCGCTTCGGTGGGTGAGAAACCCTGCCTCCTTCCCCACGTAGACGGCACTTTCCCTGCATCCACCAGTCCCCTCCGCAGCGGTGCAGTCTGTATAAACTGGCATCTCTGTGACAGCTCCGCTGACCTCGGGAGTGAGCTTTGGTCTACAACTACGGGCCAGCACTTGCCACAGAAAACCGTGGGACAGAGCCAGGAAGGCCAGACCCTCCGATTCCAGTTGGGCAAGCTGACTCCCTCCTTAGGGACAGGGCAGGAAAATAAGGTTGAGATGTAAAAGGCTGGAATAAAAATAAAACGCGCGCTCTTCCTACACTGACCTGCCTCATCCCGGGGCCGGTCAGTTCACCAGGACACAGCCACTGTGCTGCGGGTCCACGGCCTCCAGCATCTCACAGTCGAAGAGTCCGGGGAACTCGGGGAGGGCCAGCGGGTCGTAGCTGGAGGGGTCCCCCTGCAGCCCCGAGCTCCGGGGGCAGTCCGCTCCGCCACCCTGCTCGGCGCCGTCCAGGGGGTACTGACAGGGAGTGGGGTAGTCTGGCTCGGGGGAGGCAGTGCCGGGCAGCTCACAAGTCTGATAGAACTGTAAGGGCGCTGGGGCGGCCCCGGCCTGCGGCGGCGGCGGCAGGTGCGCCCGGGCCGGCGAGGAGGGCAGGGGCCGCAGCGGCATCTCCCGGTACTGGCCCAGGAAGGGGCTGCACTGCATGTGCTCGGAGGCCAGGACCGGGCTCAGGGGCTGCGGCAGGCTGTACTGCGGCGGCGGCGGCGCCTCCTGGTGGGGAAGGGGCAGCTGCTGGCTCGGCTGTGGGTACGAGTTCTCCGCTATCTGCATCTGATTAAAGTATGCCTGCAGCTGAGACTGCTTCTGGAGGAAGAGACGCTTCTGTTGGAGTCTAAATTGGCAAAACCAAAAGAAAGAATTTTAAATCCTCTTCAGTGGTGGCCGCGCCGCAAAGCAGCACATCACTGGCTCCAGCCCTCGCCTCTCCGCGGCAGGAAAAAGTGGGGGCAGGAACCCAGTCTGGCTTTTCTCAAACCTAATCTCACTTTTCGTCCTCCAATTCTGACTGACCCCTCAGCGCAAAAGCGAACACCGACTCATTTTCTGACTCCAGAGTTTTCTCCCTGCGAAGCGAGAGGCTGCTTTTCCATCTGGAGCGAGCGAAGGGACGATGGGGTCCCCCCTGACCTCTGTGGGTGTCTGGCTGATGGAGCAGGTCATTCCGTCGTGGCCATGCAGCTTCTGCTAGTGAGGCCCGGGCAGGAAGTCCTCCACGGAGGACGGAGGATCTTTGCAGGACAACCCGCTGCGCGGCACTGGGGCAGGGGTTTGAGAGCTCAGGTCTCCTCAGCACGGAGGGGCGTGAGGAGACAGGGAAGCAGCACGTGAGGGCGGCTGGTCCCCGAGAGCACGCCCGTGGACACTGGGTATCCGCTCTGGCCGTCATGTCTTGAATACTGGCTCATACATCACAACCTCTTTTTCCACCCTGGCCAGGTGGCTAGGTTGGTGGGAGCATCTCGCACCAAGACGCTGTGAGTCTAGTTCCCAGGCAGGGCACACACCTACGTTGTGGGTTCGATCCCCGGTTGGGTCATGTATGGGAGGAAACCAATCGATGTTTCTCTCTCACAGAGATGTTTCTCTTTCTCTCTCTCTCAAATCTAAAAATACATCCTTGGGTGAGGATTAAAAAAAGAAGAGACATCAACCTGTTCCTAGTGGAGGCAAACACCAGGGGAATGGATACATGCCCAGCATTCTGAAGTCTCCCAGAAGAAAGTGACTTCCTGGGCCAGAGGTGCTGTCTCACCTGTGTTCCTGCAGCTGCTGTTCCAGGCTCCGTGGTGGCTCCTTACAATACAGCTGGCAGGTGTTCTGGGCTTTCGACAGAAGGCTGGGCTTCTGGAAGAGCAGAAAACACCAGGAGCGTGACAACGTGCTGCCACGTAGGACGCAGACGGCAGCCTGAGCCGAGCCCCTGGGAGGAAGCCCGCTCCTCCCAGCCCACACGGGGCGGGGGAAGGGACTGAGGGCACTGCTCACTGCGACCCGGGAGGAGCTCGGGAAAAAGCGTGGGGTCGGCAGCCTGGGCTGTCTCAGCTCTACCCTACCTCAGTTTCCCATTTCTACACGTCCCCGAGGACTCAGGTGCATGGAAGGGAGGAACATGGGAAGTGGGGCTAACCCTAACAAAGGCTGCAGCACCTGCGGGCGGGCAGATGATTCATTTCCTGCGGTTCTTGGGCACCGACACAGACAGCTGACACTGACAGTGTGCAGACTCGAGATTTCCACCTTCTGTTATGCACGGCAGCAGCAGAGGCCGTGCTCCCCTCTCCTGCCACTCTGTGCACATGCTTTCCTGGGCCTCGGGACAGGTCCACTGCCAGCGGAGCACAGGCTCCGTCTAGCCCGTGTCCAGAACCAGAGGCACTGCCACACCTGCCCGCCCGCAGGGAATCAAGCTGCTCCCGCGAATGGAAACCTGAACAAGCTAAACAGGGCTGTGCTGTGCAAAGGCCCACTCTAGCCCGCGGAGCAGCCAGGGGCAGGGCCCACCTGGAGTCTGTGCTGCAGGTACTGGGCTCCCAGGCTCTGCCGCTGGGACAGTGGAGGACGCACGCCGGCGGGGAGCGCGGAGACACCCTCCTGCTGCTGAGCGACTTCCTCCTGAGGAGCAAGGGGTGCAAACATTTTCAATTCTCCGTGTGGGAGAAAGTTGCAGTTTTTAGTTTAAGCACCCTGGCAAATGTCCAAGAGGAACTCCAACTGCGTAACAGGCTACGTAAGGCTTTCCCGCAGCTGGGAGGCCGAGGGCAATCAGTGCGCAGGAATCCCGCCCTGGGCTCCGCAGCGCGGCCGGGTCAGCACTGAGCCAGGCCCTGGCCACCAGGCCACTGCCTTCATGGGCCTCGAAGGTATGGCACCTTGACGACTAAAAACAGGCTCAAAACAAAACTTACTGGATAAACAGCAATCTTTGAATCTTCATAAAGAGTCCATTTATAATGTTTAATGAAGTGACAGCACATCAAAAGTAGTGGCAATAAGATTCTTATAAGTTCATTACGCTTAGTTTGTGTGTGTGTGCCTGAAGGCAGGGGCGTTCAAGGAGACCCTAAGAGGTAATTCACACAGTCTGCGTGTGAACCGAACCCAGCTTGACAAGGCCTCCAGGTGGGGCTGGGTCCCGAGGCCGCGTGCACAGATCTCACCTGCCAGCGGCAGGTGGCGGCAGCAGAGAGCGTTTTCCAAAAGAACCTGTCTGTTCCAGGACGGGAGTAAGTCCTCTCAATGACACGACAGGTCTCAGGACACACGCACTGCCCTCACCGGCACTGTGGCGGCCCGGGGCGCTCACCTGAGGGCAGCTGCCAGCCAGCTCTGGGGGCTGAGGGGCAGCAGGCGCCGGGTCGGCGTCGGCCTCCGGTCCCATCTGCTCATACAGCAGCTGCACTTTGTTCAGCTCCAGGATCCCTTTGGTTCTGGCCAGGTTCTGAAGGTGTTGTCTAAATGCTACGATTCCTGAAAGAAAGTGCAATGACCAAACCGTCTAAATAAAACACAAGGCCTCTTAGTGACCACAGGTGTGACAACCAACATGGCAACAAAGCCCTTCAGGCCCCACCAGCCGAAAGTCCGAAAAGCAGCCATTACCTTGGGTGAGGGAGGTGTCCGAGGCCCTGCGGCCCTCTCGGAAGCTCACTGGTGACCTGTTGTGGGCCTCTCTTTTCTGGGAGCTCAGAGCCTGCATGGCTGGGTTGGCAGGTCTCAGGCTTATGAAGGGCGATGCCACGCGAGGTGAGGGCTGGTTGGCTAACATGAGGTCTTTAAGGGAAGGGGTGTCCTCCAGAAAGTTCAGGTCCCTCTGAAGAGAACCCATGTCATACTCAGAGTCCACACTGCCAAGGGAGGGGTTGTCACTCATGGAGAAAACTTTCCCTTTAAGAGAAAACGAAACAGGTATGACGAATAGCAAACAGCGTCTTCTTTGAACAGGAGATACAAAGCGTAGCCAGTCTGAGTCCTCACAGCTACAATGTCCTTAATCTCTGACCAACACATCTTTTCAGAATCTTTTTACATGTCAATTTAATCAGCTTCGAATTTAGTGGGGAGAACACCCCAGAACCCGTACCCGCCAGATCTCTGCCACCCAAAAGTGCTAGGGTCCTGGATAAGCCACACAGCACCCAGGTGAATTCTGGGGGTCAGGGGAGGCAACTCCGAGAGGACTCACGTACATCTCGGCAGCTGCTGAGCAGGCCTAGCTCCAGCTGAATGGTGTCCAAAGGACAAAGCAGACTCATGTGCACCGGGACCTTCGTTATGGACTACGTTCTAGGCCTTGGCTGCTATCATCCCCATTTCGTGGAGACGGGGGTATGGGTTGATGCTGTGCAGACTTCACCTAGATGACTGGTCACCATACCTGAGCCTGGCATCACGACTAGCTGATTGGTCACTTCGGACAGAGTGTGCCGTCTCTGCCCACTACGCGTGGACTGGAATGCTTCAAAGGCCTGACTGGGGTCTTCCTCAGCTTCTGCTTCTGTCTCCAACCCTTCGTCGATGGAGGTCTCCATCACGCTGCTGGGCAGTGACTGGCACCCCTCCCTCACCAGGATGGGGGGCACAGGGTCCAGCAGACAGCCATTGACCTGAACGTCAGTGCGAGAGCAAACTGTCAGTTGTTGCTCTGCTGAGACATTCGAAAAACCCACAAGGAAAAAATGTCAACACGTGTGGCAAATCAGAAATCAAGTAAAATACTAAACACGTACATATTTGTGCCTAAGGACAACAGGCAGAGGGTCACCTGCAGCCCCGAGCCAGGAGCCAGTGAGACCAACGGGCTCTGCCTCCCAGGCGTCTGAGTCACCATGACTACAGTCGAGTTTTCCAGGGCTTTCCAGATGCACAGGGTTAGGAAGTTGAGGCCTACCAGTTATTATTTTTTTAAATAAGGAAATGAAGAAGGAGAAGATGAGATTAAAAAAATACTGCGACTCAGAGCCAAGAAAAAGGAGTAGTCGCCAGCATTCCTCATTTTCAACCACAAAACACACTGCACGGTTCTAGACATACTTTTATGTTTATTACTTAAGTACCTGCCCATCTGATTTAGTCTTTAATTGGTTCTATGTGCCTGAGGAATGGAAAAAGGAATTCTTTAAAGATGGGCTGATAACCACAAAAAGGGTTGAAAAAAATTCAACTGGCAAACAGCCAAAGCCTTGCATCACAGAAGAACAAATGACTCGCAGGCCCCAAATTCCTGCAGAGGTTAATGAGAAGGGTGCACAGGGCTCTCCCCTAACAGCCCACACAGCACCCACGTTCCCACCCCCGGGTGAGCTCAGCACGTTGCCCTCCCACAGCTGCCAAGCAAACCCCCCAAGGCAGCAGGAACAGCAGACAAAGGGGCTGGGTTGTGGTTGCCTGTTCTTCTGGCTGGTAAAAGGCCCAAAGAGGAGGCAATTATTTACCTCATTACCCTAACTATCCCCGGTGGAAATCTGCTCCCTTCTATGAACAGCTGCTCAGCAACAGCCAGCCACACGCGTGCTCAGCAGTACTTTCACCTGCAACACACTGGGTAGAGCTATTGTCTCCTCTGGAGACAGGCGGAGTGCGTGTGTGTGCGGTGACGTGGGACACCCCTGTGCCAGACACAGGGAACTTTCCTCTTATGGCAACCAGTCTGCAGGCGCCGCAGGCCCTTTATTTGGAGAGGGCGCCTGGGTGACTCAGATCTCTGTTTGCTTGGGGGAGGGGTGGCAATTCCATGAAGCTGCGCTGGGGCTGCAGCCGTGACCAGGACCAGGTGGCTGGCGCATTTCAAGTGAGGGGTGGTCATTTCCAGGAAGAGCGGTAGGTGCTCTCTCCAGACTAAGGCCAGTCCTCCCCTGGGCTCCAGCAAAAGCTCTGAAATCTGGCCCGGACTCTGTTCTCCCCTTGGCCCTTCTCCAGATACGTTTTCCTTCTAGACGACACTTAATGGTTTTCTTGTAGGAAAGAATGGCAGGCTGTCCGGGAACTTTACATTCATACGTCCAGGTGCCTTAACTGTCCACTCATACAATTTTCAAGGAATAGCCAAGGATGATTTAGAAACGAATAAAGCAACAGAGAAAAGACTGTTATTAAGTAATTATCTATCTTTACACTTACAGCCTATGTCAAAATGTTATCAGATACTTCTTGCAGTATAGTCTTATAACCAGGTCTTTTTTTTATTTGATAGAGAAAAGTTACCTTTTTCTGAGTACTCAAAAAACCTTTCAGTCTCTCTAAATTTGTATTTTTTCTCCTCAAAGTATCTGTTTATAAATTTATCTCCTCACCTAAACTACAAGAGGAATTATGTCTCTTATTAAAAAATGTTTGCTGAATTCAGTGTCAACCAGGACAGGTGGAGGGCAGTGGCCGTTTCTCGGATGGCGCTGGCCGAGCTCGTCAGAAGGCACTGGGAGTCCGTCCACGGCACGGACGTGCTCAGCTCTGAGCTCACTTCCTGAAACAGGTGACCGTCACGCCACCCTCCCTGTCAGCTCACTGCCAGGGCACTTGGCATAGTAAGAACCTAAATTCATTCAGCTCTAGGATTTTGTGACTGAAATATTAGGCTGATTTACCTAGGCTGCTAGGAATAATCTTTACTCTAGGAAATAATCTAGGCTAACTAAATGACAGGAATTCAAAATACAAGGTGGGTGAAATGTACATTTTCCAATGCATTGTTTTTGTCTTTCCTTAAAGCTCAATTAATCGCCTCACTTCTATGGAGGGACCTCCTATGCATGTAGGAGGCAAAGTCGGAGAGACTCTACCACTGACACCACGCGCCTGCGCCTACCCCAGATACAAGACCGTAGCACAGGAGACTCACTGATAGATCATTATGGACGAATGTGTGTGTCTCCCCTACCCTGAGTGTGGCTGCATTTGTAGGACCAGTGTCCTTACAAGAAGAGACACAGAAAGCTGGCTCTCTCCACAGGAGCAGGCTGTCCTCTGGAAGCCAGGAAGAGCCCTCACCAGATATCAAACTGGCCAAAAACATGCTCTTGGACCGTTGGAAGATGCGTTCGGCTGTTTAAGCCACACCCAGTCTACGTTTGCTTTGCAGCCGAAGCAGTCCGGAGGCTGGGGCTGGGCTTGCCGAACGTGCACCGAGTGCCGTGTGTTGGTGCCCGCTGTGGAGGCGCTGTGGGCTCCGACCTCGGCCCTATCACTTACTGGCAAGTTGCTTAGCTTCTATAAAGTTCCTTTTTATTTTTCACTTGTAAAATGGAAGTAAAGTTGTTTGGGAAGATTAAAATTATATATATATATATAATTATATATACCATATATACCATATATAATATATATATATAAAATAGTACAATACCTTAGGTACTCAATATATTGTAGCTAAGCTATTATTATTTCTTGACCAAAGAGAATGCTTTATAAGTTTAAAGCATTAGAATAAAATCAAAACATTTTATTTTAAAGCATTTTTACCATTTTGAGGCAAAGTAAAATGAACAACCAGGTAAAGAAGTAAAGAGCTGGATAACCCCACTACTAGAAATTTCTCCGAAGAAAATAATCAGAGGTATAGTCAAAGATTTAGACCCAAGGATATTCACCTGAAGCATATAGGAGGATGAAAAAAAAAAATTCAAGTACCTGGTACCCCAAAATAGGAGAGTACATAATTAAATAAGGGTTCATCTAATACAATATATTAAGCAGCTGTTAAATATAACTCATGATTTCAAAGACGATTTCATGATATGGGAGAAATGTTCATGATGTTATAATCTGTAAAGCAAGATCCAAAATGACATATCATAGAATATAATTTATATTTATTTATTTATTTATTTATTTATTTAGTTAGTTATATGCTCCTCGCAGGAACCAAACCCGGGACTCTATCTTCTGCAGACCGACGCTCAGCCGCTGAGCCAAACCGGCCAGGGCTGGCATCTAATTTTAAAAAGTCTACTGAGTTACTCACTGAGTTACCCTGTACTCACCTACCTGTCCATCTATCTATAACCCCTCCCAGGAAATATACCAAAGTGTGCTTATCTTTTGGGTAGTGGGATTATGGATAAGTTAATTTTTTCTTTATCCCTCTCTGAATTTTCCATGCATGAGTCTTACTGGGTTTTTTTTCCAGTTATAAATATAAAAATTCAAATTCAGAAGTAAAGTAGCAATTTCTTCCCTTTACTGAGAGGTAAACACTGTCAGCAGTTTGGTGTGTGTTCCTCTCAGGCCTCCTCCTGGGCACTCACCACCTCCGCAATAGCATCAGTTATTAAAAGTAAGAGACACCGAACCCTTTACCACACTGGCATTTCAGTTTGGCCTCACAGCTCCCTTCTGCTGTCCAGCTATGAAGGTGGTAACTCGGAAAATCCAGCTATTATAATCTCTAATAAAATGTTAAAAGAGACTAAAATGTGTGAGTATAAAAAACTCATGATTCCCAAAGAAACTGTCAAACGAGAAAGACTGACACTGCTGGTTTGTGCATCTGTCCCCAGGTGGTCTCTCTGTCACCGGGGGCTCATTGGCTGCTCAGAGCTGGGTGACTGTCTCAGAAAGGTGCTATTTTTTTGAGGAACCCCAGACTCCCTCAAGGACTGTACTGATGGTTTTAAGCTCTGAGATGAAAACAGCTGCCACCGACTGAGACAGAAGTGAATGAGCAATGGGTGCAGTGAGGAAGCATCTCCCAGGAGACAGCGGGTACTGTATAGTGAATGCAGATGAGGCGACGTGGACCACAAAGGAAGGTACGGCTTCTCTGTCTGATAGTTTGCTGTGTGTGTGCATTTAGTGATGGGACCCAGAGAAAGAGTACTAGGGAGGGCAAAGGGACAAGCATCTTTGCTGACATAAAATGTTCACAAGTGAGACAGTGGATGTCTACGGCCTGGCTACGTGCCAGAGCGGCTCTGCCAGTGTGGGTGGCCAGTTCCAGTGGGCACTGCTTTTCCTACACATGCAAATATACCATCTAGCTACTATCTATATCTCTCACAAAATCATTCATTTCCTGTCTGTTTCCTAGTTACGGTAACAATCACAAGCTTTAAAAATAGCTTGCCCTATATAATACAGCAGACAGCACCCAATCTGGGTTTTGGGCCTGATGCCCTCACAGACAAGATTTTGGCAGACTGCAATTTAATTTCTTCAAGGGACTTAGATCTTAAAAATAAATACATTATGTTCCCCAATTTAAGTCTAAATATCTGGGTGAGAATGTAGTAGCAGTTTATGAGATTAGTGAACACGCCAGGCAACCACAGCAAAGGAAAGAAGACTGTCCCCAACAAGTGGCGTTCTCAGGGGCACAGACACCAGCGCCTCATGTTCAGCAACTCAGCTTAACAACTGTTTGTGGCTGCCTAGCATCGAGCTGCTTGACTATGCTCTAGTTAAACTCATGACTTAGCCTCTGAATCAGTCCCGCCTCCAGAGCTCCCCATTTCTGATAATGACACTCACCCTCCCCTTCATCTAGGCTCAAACACTTCTATCAGTTTGTACTTCTCTCCGGACCCTAATATTCTATCAACTTTATCTGTATAATCTCACTTCCATTATCCCCTCCTCTCCGGTTCTGTGAGCACTTCCTGTTCAGGCCCTCATCGTCCCCTCCACTGGACACATTCTCTCACCGTCGCTGTCCTTGTCACCATCTCTCCCCTCCCCAATGCAGTCTATGTACCCTTCCTGGCTGATTTCTGAAGTACAACATGGATCATAGTGCTTCTTTAATCAAAAAATTTCAATTGTTTCCTCCTACCTTGTCTACTGGAGAAAACTCTCTAGGTGATGTTGAACACATTCCTACACTGAGAACCCTAGTCTAGAGGAAAAACATACAACCACTGCCTTGCCATTCAACGCTAAGCTACTCATCTTTATTTCTTACAGCTCCCCTTCATATCTCTTTCCTCAGACACACAAAGCTGCTGCTCTGACTTAGATGTCCCCCGGCTGTCCTGACGCTGCTGTGGCTCAGGCGGTCACTGCACCGAGGTATCACACCCTAGTTTCCATCCACTCAGATTCTGCATACCCCTCAACTGCTAGCTCTGACTTTCCTGTTCAAATCAGCTAAAACCAACTCCCCCCTGCTTCCTTCTAGTCTTAAAGCACGTTGCTTTGTATTTCTTTAAACCAATAATGAGTGAGTACAAGAAGAAATTAAGAAAATAATCCCATTTGCAACCGCACTGAAAAGCTTAAACTATCTAGGAATAAATTTAACCAAGAAGGTGAAAGACCTGTACTCTGGAAACTATAAGACACTGAATAAAGAAACCGAAGAGAATACAAATAAATGAAACATATAACATGCTCATGGATTGGAAGAATGAGTATTGTAAAAATGTCCTTACTACCCAAAGCAACAAACAGATTTAATGCAATCCCTATTCAAATACCAGTGGCAATCCTTTCAGAACTAGGACAAGACCCCATATAGACAAAAAAACCTTGGGAAAAAAACAAAGTGGCAAGTATCATGCTCCCTGCTTACAAAATATACTACAAAGCTACAATAATCAAAATAGTATGGTACTGGCATAAAAACAGATATATAGGTCAATGGAATAGACAGCTCAGACTCAAATCTTCCCATAACCAAATAAATCCTCCAATAAATAAATAAATTGATTTATATGGTCAATCTATGACCAAGGAGATAAGAATACACAATGGGGTCAAGACAGACTCTTCTGTAATGGTGCTGGGAAAACGGGACAGACACATGTAAAAAATGAAACGGGGCTAATTTCTTATACCATACATAAACACAAACTCAAAATGGGTTAATTATTTAAATGTAAGACCTGAAACCATAAAACTTCTAGAAGAAAACATAGGCAGTAAACTCTTTGATATTAGTCTTAGCAATATCTTTTTGAATGTCTCCTTGGGCAAGGGCAACAACAACAATATAAACAAACAAGACCATATCAAATTTAAAAGTTTCTGTACAGTGAAGGAAACCATCAACAAAAAGAAAAGACAACCCTGGCTGTTTTGGCTCTGTGGACCAATGAGTCAAGGGTTCGATTCCAGTCAAGGGCACATATCTGGGTTGCAGTTTGTCCCCAGCCTGGTCGGTTCACGTGGGAAGCAACCACTTGATGTGGCTCTATCACATCGATGCTTCTCTCTGTCTCTCTCCCTCCTTCCCTCCCACTCTATCTGATAATAAGTAGAAAAATATCCTCGGGTGAGGAATAAAAAAAGAAAAAGAAAAGACAACTACTAAATGGCAAAAAATATTTGTCAATGATAAGGGTTAATATCCAAAATGTATAAGGAATTCACACAGTTTAACAGCAAAAAAACAAGCAATCCAATACAAAATGGAGTGAGGACTTGAACAGACATTTCTCCAAAGAAGCTTTACAGATGGCCAAAAGACATATGAAAAGGTGGTCAATGGCACTAATCATCAGGGGAATGCAACAGTGAGATATCACCTCACACTTGTCAGAATGGTTATCATAAAAAAGTAAAGAAGTAACAAGTGCTGGTGAGAACGTGGGGAAAAAGGGAGCTCTTGTGCACTGTCGGTGGGATTGTCAACTAGTGCAGCCATGGCCCTGGCCGGTTTGGCTCAGTGGCTGGAGCGTCGGCCTGCGGACCAGAGAGTCCCGGGGTTGGTTCCCAGTAGGGGCACCTACCAAAAAATAAAATAAAATAAAATAAATTAGTGCAGCCACTAGCAAAACAGTATGGAGGTTCCTGAAGACAAACAGCTGTCATATGACTCAGCAACACCACTTCTCGGTATAAATCCAAAGAAACCCAAAATACTAATTCGGAAAAGATATACACACCTCTATGTTCACTGCAGCATTATTTACAATAGTCAAGACATGAAAGCATCCTAGGTCTCCATCAACAGATGAATGAATAAAGAAAATGTAGTGTATATATACAATGGAATATTGCTCACAAGGAATAGAAATCTTACCATTTGCAACAATATAGTTAGGCCTGGAGGGTATTATACTAAGTGAAATAAGTCAGTCAGAGAAAGACAAATACCGCATGATTTCACTTACAAGTGGAATCTAAAAAAATCAAAACAAGTGAAGAAACAAAACCAAACCAACCCACAGACACGAAGAACAAGCTGATGGTTGCCAAAGGGGAGGAGGCTGGAGGAAGGTGAAAAAGCAAGGGCCAATTCGATGTTAACAATCTATTCAGAACCTGGCTCACTGTCTTTAGTTATGCATCATGTCTTCTCTGCTAGACTATAAACTCTGAGGCAGAGTTAATGTCTGACTCACCTTTTTATTACATAAACAGTCTAAAAGGACAGGAAACAATATTTATTAAGTACCTACAATTTGGCCAGAACCTCACACATATTATCTTACTTAATCCTCACAATAGCCTCATAAAATTGGTAGTCTCATATTACATAAGAGAAAACAGAGGTTCAAAGAAGCTAGTCAGTCACCTTGCCCAAGTTCACAAGGCTAGTCAAGAACAAAGTCTATTTTTAACATAGTCCAAGACCTGCCCATTTCCATGACCCTTTGTACATCACTTGATGCTAAGTATATAAAACACATATTAGAAACAAATATCCATTAAATGAAAGAAGCTGTCACCTTTCACATCCTACAAGCCTATGTCGTACACCAGGGCACACCTATCTCCGGTAAGCACGGCCGACAGGACCAACCAGATGACTGAGCAGAGCAGACGCACCGTCGCGTGGCTGAGCCACACAGACGGGCCCGTCAGCACTACAGTTACATTTCTGTTGTCAGAGTTACAGTTTGTTAAAAACAAACACACACACAACCTGTGTGGGATCTAGAAACGTGGAGGAAAGGTCTGGTTAAAGAAAGAAGGCTTGGAAAGCACCCCTGTGGTCTGAGAAGCTATGTGACAGCGGAATGACAAGGCAGTGCTGAGTTCAGTGCCCAGTACTTTTCTCAGGTTCTTCTGCTCAAAAACGACATTCCTGAGGGACATGAGGACATGACAAAGTTCAGCACGGTCAAGTACAACACCTGGGGACCCAACTGAAGTCTCCAGCCACCTCCAAGCTCAGTCTCTGCAACACACTGTACCTTTGGAGTGTCAACACACTCTTCTTCCATGAAGGCTGCTTCTGCGGGACAGCCGGGTGCTGGGAAGGAAAAGGCCTCCCCCGTGGGCGCCTGTGGGAGGAGGGCGGGCCGCATCGCACCGGGGGAAGGCATGGCCGCTGGGAAGCCCACGGTCTGTGCCTGTGAACATGGCAAGAACAGACTGCTTAGGAACATTCATACCTTCTATACAAATACACATATTTCTTGGAATAAAATAATTCTTCCTGGTACAATTAAGTGATAAATCGTCACTGTTGGAAACTCTAGAAAAGCTCTGATGAAATGTGCACAGTACAGGTGCTGACTGGGAGCAGTCGCCGCAGTCAGTCACTCTGAGGTTGGCTGTAGAGTTTAATCCTGTTCCACGAGGAGGTACGTAACTTTCAGAGACGACTAGAAAATTAGTCTTTGTAAGAAATATAAGAATACTCTCTTTTTTCAATTCAACAAACGTATTGTCTGTAATCTTACTTATGTTACCCTGAAAAGATATAAAGAAAAGTCCCTGCCTCTAGAAGCTCAAAATTGAACCAGGGATAGATAACACACCCACAACTAACTATGATACAAAGTACACTGTAGTAAGTGCTATCTACCCATCTGCCTTTCGTGTGCCTGAGTGTGGTAAGATGGTGTACATTTCTTGGCAAGGGTATGTGTGAAGAGGAAGGAAAAAGCAGCACCAGTTACTTGGAGGTGATAAGAATGTCTTTCTTTCAAGGAGACAAACATTCTGAGCACAGCTTGCTGGCCCAACGGAAGAGAGATGCTTACTGCCAAGCAACTTAAATCCCTGAAGTCAACCTGCTAGAGAAAGCTCCGTTCTTCCTTTCTCCTTTGTTAAGAACTCTAACTGAACAAGCATTTCAAACTCTTCTTTTAAAAAAATCATTAAAAAAAAAAAATCTTCCTTTCTGACAGCGGGCAAGGATTGATTTTAAAGATGAAACTGCTGGACAATCCTTTCTTCCCCTCTCTCCAAACCTAGCAGAATAATTTACTAGATGCCTGTGAACATAACAGACATTGTAAACATCTGAGGGAACAATCATCACACTAGCTCCTAAAAGACAGAGGAAGGGCCTATATTTCTTTCTGCCATAATCACTTCAATGGGTATAGGATGGTGAATTTTAAATTCAAACAAACAAACAAAAAGGGACAAATAGTATGATGACCTGGGATTAATTCCTGGCTCCATCACTTCCTAATGTGTGAATCTCATTAGGTTACTTATCCCCTTTTAATCTTATTTTCTTCACCTGTACAAAAGGGCATAATACCTATTTACAGTGAAGTTAATGTAAAAGTTAACATGTAAAATCTTAATATGATCACAAGAATTTAATCTAGAAATCAGACTGCAAAGTGAATACACAGTGTTGTTTTCAGACACTATCTAATGGCTCCCAGTTAAAATTTCAGGTTGACAGTTTTCAACGATGGGGAGATATGTTAGAAATACACTTTATATTTGACTATACTTCAAATAGATTTAGCATATACTTTATATTTGGTATATTCCAACATCATTAGATATACTGCATGAGATGAATAAAATAGCAATAACAAAGTGTGGGATTATTATATAGATGGTGAAGAAAGAAAAAAATACATTGCATACTATTTTGAGCATGATTTAAAAAAAATAGCTTTTCTTGTATCATCATTCTTATATCCTGGGACACTTTTGATACTAAACAGCTTTTTTTTCTCTTTCAAGCATTAGTTAATTTTTCTTTAGCCACCATATCACAATGTAAAATTTAAATTTCCTAACAAAGTATTTTTGGTATATTCTTCTCACCCTCATCATCAATTTTTCAACCAAAGGATAAAGCTGAACTGTGATTGCTGTTTCTCAAAACTGCTGGATTGCCCATGTGAAAGCAGTTCTCCTTATACCACACCGGAGGTGAGGCGCCCACACGGTCACTGTGATGTGCTGTTCCTTCCCAGGGCAGGGTCATGCTGTGCCAGACTAAGTGTAACACACAGTCCCTGACACCTCTCACATCCAACCTGGACTCTGAGAACAACTCACCGAGAATGAAGACTATTAGTCCACAAGGGTGGGGTCCTTTGGGACCAGAGAGCTCTCCCCCTCTCTCCACACATGCAGAAGAAAGGCCATGTAAAGCCAGCAAGAAGGCATCTGTCTACAAACCAGGAAGAAAATCCTCACCAGAAACCAACCTGATGGGATCTCGATCTTAGACCTGTAGCCTCTAGGACTCTGAGGAAATAAACCTGTTGCTGAATCCACCCTGTCTGTGGTACTTGGTTATGTAGCCCTAGTCCACTAATACAATGCTTTTTCTTACAGTTGTGGAAAGTAGTAATTAAATCAGTAATTAAGGAAGAATAGGGATGAGTGTTTCATTCTTGTCTGCTTACAGTTGATGAAAACTTGGAGTGGAGGAACTGTTAAGAACTAGTAGTTAGAAAAAGACACGACACTGTGTTCTAAATAGTCTTCTGCAGTCAATTAGATGTAACATTTCCTGTATATTATACAGCAAATGTAGGTGCTCTAAATCTGAGATAAAATCTCACTGCTTTCTAAGTAGGACCACTAGACCGTGACCGCCATAAGGGAACCTCTGACCAAGTGGTGGCGCACAGTGCTGCTCTATTTGCTGAACTGTGCTGCTGGCATAGTTTATAATTTTATCTCTATACAAACTTGTGACATAGGTATTGCTATTTCTATTTTATATTTAAGGACACTGGAGCTCTCAGATGCTGACTGGACTCAGCTCATTATGGACCCCAAGGTCTGCATAATTCGACAGCTCGTGTGACCTTTGCACGGGATCATGTCATTGTTCCAACTTCTCATTACTATTTCAATGAAGTGATTTGCTACTTCTACAAAAATATAATAACACCGCCCTGGCCGGGTTGGCTCAGCACTTAGAGTGTCGGCCTGCGGTCAGAGAGAACCGGGTTCGGTTCCCGCTAAGGGCACGTACCTCGGTTGCAGTTTGTCCCCGGCCCTGGTTGGTCGTGCGGGTGGCAGCCACTCGATGTGTCCCTTTCACGTCGATGTTTCTCTCTCTCGCTCTCTTCCTCTCTCTCCCTCCCACTCTATCTGTGCAAAAAATGGAAAAAAATGTCCTCGGGTGAGGATAAAAAAAAAAATATATATATATATATATATATATATAAAACACCAACGAATTAAAGAGAGAAGGTTCTAGGAAAACTTGAAGCATATTTATATTCATAAAACCAGAAAAGTCTGTTTTTAACAAGGTCAACACTACACATTACAATGTGAAATCTTGGCGGGAAAGGAGCATCTTCTTCAGCCCACTGCCTGCTGCACCCAGAAGGCTCTGCACTCAAAACGAGTTCATGGAGAAGTACTAATAACTTCTGCTTGAATGACATACATTTTAAGTCACAGTAGTAAGTAGTTTTCTATGACTACTTGGGTCAATGTACAAAACAAAAAGAACTTATGTGGTGCTTGGTAATAAAAAAAAATTACCAAACATAAGAAGCTATGTTCTACATCTGAACACCAAGCAAAATTCAATATAATTTGAGATCTCCTCGGGTATTTACTTCAAGTTCAGGTGTGAAAAGACACCGTGTACACACGTGTGCTCGGAAGCAATCCCGTCGGTGACGCCCTTCCCTCACCTGTGCGCGGGGTGGGAACAGCCCTGGGAGGAGAGGCCTGCCCAGTGGGCTCTCCTGCTTCCTCTCTGTCCAGCAGCATTTTCCAGAGAGAAGGCACCACCATATCTCACCATGACCACCCCAACTTAGGGTTTCCCATATTACCCCTCTTCTCCATCTTTAAAGCAATTACCAGTCAACTTTGAAGGATTCCAAATGCTCAGAGATACTCTAGCCCAAATATCTGGAACTTTATCAAACATATTCTTTTACCCACATTAGTATGAAATTCACATTATTTTATATATTAAAGTATGTATAACAAAGGCTACCATTTGCCTCTTAAAATTAAGATTTTAATTTCCTTGTTTATTTTTTTTTCTGTATGTTCTATAGAAGCCAATGTAAGATACTATTATAATCATCATTATTTCCTGAACTATAAGTAAACTCTTCACTTTGGCATTCAGAGCCCTTCATGGTATGGCTTCAAGTTACCACTCCAACTTTTTCATACTTATATACATTAATTTAAGCAGATTAATTTGAACAAGCTCTCCTGAGTACTTCTTCTCATGCTATTTCTTCTGCTCACACATAATAACTTTAACTACAGGGAGGCTATACCACTGAGCCACACAGAACACCCATAACATAAGGTCAACCCTACTAAGACTGGGACATAGCAGATCTACTTAATACACAGAAACAAATACAGAGATGCAGCCAGAGTGGGGAGACACAGAAACATGCCCCACATGAAATGAGAAATCCCCAGAAAAAGTACCAAATGAAATGAAGGCAAGCAATCTATCAGATACAGAATTCAAAACAATGGTTATAAAGATGCTCAAGGAACTTAGGAAAAATGGATGAACTCAGTGAAAACTTAAAGAGATATTAAATATAAAAAAGGACATAGAAAACATAAAAAGGATCTAGTCAGAAATGAACGATACAATATCTGAAATGAAGGATACACTAAAAAAAAAAATCAACAGAGGTTAGATGAAGCAGAAGATCAAATTAATGATTTGAACAATAAGGTAGCAGAAAACACCCAATCAGAGCAGCAAAAAGAAAAAATTTTTAAAATGAGGATAGTTTAAGGGACATCTGAACAAAGTGAAGCATGGCAACATGTGCATCATAGGGGTGCCAGAAGAAGAGAGACAGCAAGAGATGGAGAACCTATATGAAGAAATAATGACTGAAAATTTCCCAAACTTGGTGAAAGAAAAAGACACAGAAGTCCAGGAAACACAGAGAGTCCCAAAGAAGATAAACCTCAACAGACTCACACCAAGACACATCATAATTAAAATGTCAAACGTTAATGACAAAGAGAGAATCTTAAAAGCCACAAGAGAAAGTCAGTTACCTACAAGGGAGCTCCCATAAAAATATTAGCTGATTTCTCAACAGAAACATTTCAGGCCAGAAGGTTTGGCATGAAATATTCAAAATGATAAAAAGCAAGGACCTATAACCATAACTGCTCTACCCAG